GAGGAGAGGAGAGAGGAGAGGAGAGAGGAGAGGAGAGGAGAGGTCCCACGCCTGCCACGCAAAAGAGGCGGAGCCCCAAGCGACGCCAGGGCGTACATCAGACCCCTTGGCAGTGCACATTGTCCCACGCCTGCCACGCAAAATGCACATGAGTGAGTGAGTGAGTGTGTGAGTGAGAGTGAGTGAGTGTGAGGTGAGTGAGTGAGTGTGTGAGTGAGTGAGTGTGAGTGTGAGTGAGTGTGTGTGAGTGAGTGAGTGTGAGTGTGAGGTGAGTGAGTGAGTGTGAGTGAGTGAATGTGTGAGTGAGTGAGTGAGTCTGAGTGAGAGTGGTGAGTGAGTGTGTGTGAGTGAGTGAGTGTGAGTGAGTGAGAGTGAGTGAGTGTGTGTGAGTGAGTGAGTGTGTGAGTGAGTGTGAGTGAGTGAGTGTGTGAGTGAGTGAGTGAGTCTGAGTGAGAGTGGTGAGTGAGTGTGTGTGAGTGAGTGTGAGTGAGTGAGAGTGAGTGAGTGTGTGTGTGTGAGTGAGTGAGTGTGAGTGAGTGAGAGTGAGTGAGTGTGAGTGTGAGTGAGGAGGAAGACGGGCGGGCGGCGGGCGGACGGAGGCGGCGGATACAGAATTAAAAACAAAAACCCCACACGTCAATGTGGGGAATAAGAATAAAATAAAAAATAAATAAGTAAGAAAATAAATAAATAATTAATTAAATAAATAAGTAAGCTAGTAAATATAATATATGTGTGTATATAAATATATATATATATAAATAAATAAATTTAATATAGATATGTAAATATATATATAATATATAATATAAATATATAAATATATAAATATATAAATATATAATATATAAATATATAAATATATAAATATAAATATATAAATATATAAATATATACATATATACATATATAAATACATAAATATATAAATATATAAATAAATAAATATATAAATAAATAAACATATAAATCAATAAATAAATAAATAAATATAAATACATAAATAAATAAACATATATATTATAATAAATTATAATCAATTATAATAAATTATAATAAATAATAATAAATAATAAATAATAATAAATAATAATAATAAATAATAATAAATAATAATAAATAATAATAAATAATAAATAATAATAAATACTAATAAATACAAATAAATAATGATAAATAATAATAAATAATAATAAAAAATGATAAATAATATTAAATAATACTAAATAATAATAAATAATAATAAATAATACGGAAAAAACATATATATATATATAACAGAAAATAATAATAAAATATATATATAACATATGTCAATATCGAAAATATTTATTAATTATAAATATATTTTAATTAAATAAAATATTATTATTTTAAAAAATTAAAAAATAAAAAATATAAATATATAATTTTTAATTTAAAATTTTAGAATATCTTTAATTTTTTATTTATTCCTAATTATAATTCCAATATAAAAAATAATAACAATAATTTAATTTGTCTTATATAATTTTATAAGATATCAATAAGAACATGATTCTTAGTAAATTTAGTTAGTATAATAATATAGTAATTCCAGATATCATTTTTTTTTAAATTAAAATACTATTAAAATATAATCGAGAAATAGTATAAGGTTTACCAAACATAAGAGTAAAGCTTAATCCCAGCCAAAATAAAAATCCAAAAAGGCCAAATATCCTAAAAAAACAAAAATAATATTACAACAAGATATATATATATATAAATATTTATAGAATATATATATATATATAATCTGATGTATATATATTTTTTTATAAAAATTTAAAACTAGTTATTGGAAGTAAATATTTATTTTTGTCGATATATCGATTTATCGGGAAGCCGGTACCGATAAGCCGATAAGCCGATAAAGGCAGACTCTGCGGTTTCTCGGTTTCTCGGGTGAAGCGCGAAATTTGAACCAGTGTTATCAGTTCAATACAAAACATTTTTAAGGGATTTTAAGGGTTTATATAGATAATGATGATAATGATAATGATGATGATGATAATGATTATTATTACTATTATTGCAATCAATGTCATAAAAGGCCATGGCTCCTTCCGTTCGTTTTTCGTCACGCGTTCCAATAATTTTTTGGAGTTTTTGAAGCGGCTCCACTTCTTGTGCACTGTACAACGGTGGAGCAAAGCATCGATGATCGCTGCAAATTCTGAGCTGTAGCATATCGCAAGCCCCTCGGACTTTTGCTGATAGACGGAAAACGATCGACAAACAGTGAAATGAGCAGCGATATTCAGTTCAAAATTTGAATCGCCCATACATGATCCTGATCCCATAGCCATAAAATTCCATGAGCTCAGAATTCCTCACTCTTCTCGGCAGCTTTAGCCTCAGAATGTTGATCCTTAGTCCACCCAGCATTGGCACCGCAACGTGAATTCGTAGAAGCGCTCCTTGAATGCCAGTGCTCGGAGTTTACTGGTATGCCAAGCCTGAAGAATTTGTGGTTGATTTCAACAACATATGTCCAACATATTTTACCATCTGAATCACATGGAAAAATTTTCCAAACTTGCGTCAAGCGTAACTGTCATGACCCCACTGAGCTTTGGAACTGATGTCCTTCTTTCTGAGCTCGTACCATTTTTCCTTCTCATCCTGGCCATCGCCAATTTGGCACTGCAAATGTGAGGACGCTCTGTCCCCCCTCGGTCCTTCTTCGCCAGCGTCAGGGTGATCTTTGGAGAACTGGATGAGACACGATGCTTGCAACTCAGCCGGACACGCCAAATAGTGCAGTGTTGGAGCCAACCCAAAATTGCCAAACTGGCTGATCTTTGCATGGATCACAAGTGGTGTCATAGAGACAACCTGGAATAAACCCAAGAAATTTAGATTTGCTTAGGGGGGCCCCAGACAAAATAAAGATATGCCGAACAGGTTCCCCAGGCCGATCAAGCGACAGGAAAATGAACAAATTACCGGTCACCCTCTGAGTCGAAGACTTCTCGGGGACGATCTCATGCGCCCAACCGTTCTTGCGCTCATGCTCCAGGACCCATCCCTGCCGGATGTGCTTTAGGTTGCCAGTGTAAAGACAGCTATACATCTGGGATCATCGGCAAATTGGAACAAGTCCCAAACCCGAAAAAACACAGTCCCTCATTTGCGGATTAAATACTTTATTTCCAATGGTTTAGATCCAAACATAAAGCCATCAACAATCATAAACAAACAACCTCGAATCTTTACACTGGTGAACTCCCTAATAGATTCCATTTGTTCCCTGGCTGGATAGCTGAAATCTATATGGGTTCTTTCTTCTCAAAGGTCAGTGCAGGGTGCTGTGGAGAGTGCTGTCCAGACTGAAAAGCTTGGCCAGGCTGCTGTGCAGGGTGCTGCTTAGGTTCCAAGATTGGGAAGCAGTGGTTCCAAGGTTTGGGGACCACTAGTTCCTAGAACTGGGAACCTGTGGTTCCAAAATTGGGAAGCATTGGTTCGAACGCTGGGGAACCAGCAGTGCCGCTATTGCCGCAACATATTCGCACGGCACAAAAAAGCGTTTCTGAAACCTTTTCAGTCTGGGGCCTATGCCGGTGTAATTTTGAATATTTTTGCAGATCAAATCCAATTTTGTGGTGGTTTCCTACCAAAAAACCGACTAAAGCGCCTCAGCGTCCTTCACGCGAACGCCATAGAGCCGGCCACTGGGTAGTCGCGCGATCAGCTCAACACCGAAACCTGCGCCGCTCACTGTGACCAAGACCTGACGGATAAAAAAGTCTACCCAAGGTGGCCACTATAAAGACACCAAGTTTCATTTCATGCATCTTAAAGCGACCAAACCAACTATCCAACTAGAAAACTAAGAAAAATGCGTCACAAACCCTTCAAAAACGGATATCGCTTTTAAAAGCTGGGCTCCAATTTGGTATCGAAACTGCATTCTCTCAGGCCCAGTTCTGGCTATCAGTGAAATCATCTCCAACCACAAGTGATGTTTGAAGTGCCCGATATGGGACATCAATATGGATTCCCATGATTTGTGCAGATATGCTCAGACCCCAGTGTTCCAGTATGTTTCAGTGCTTGCAGGCATTTTTGGTTGGGGTAATGTCCTCCATGGGAGTTTTGCTGCCAGCCATCTTGGCAGCCGGACGTTCGAACTCGCAGGTGATCTTTGCATCCTCGACCCGCAAGAGGCGTTTGGGGTTGATGGGTCACTCCATCCAGTGGAAAACATCAAAATAGATCAAAATAGCTGATACAGTAGGTGGAAGTTCATCCCTCCAAAGATGGTATCTTTTCGACATTTCTTCATTCCCATTTCAGTTTGAGGCATGGCTTAGCTGGAGGGATTTGCGCACCAAAAAAAAAAGGTCCTTGATCTCCTCGGGGAAATCAATGTACACCTGGCAGAGAAAAATCCGAACTCTCTCAGAGATAGATCAGGGTGGAAAAATGTTTGGAGCACAGTAACTTCCCACATCCTGCAGAATGTTTCAAACAAACTTGAGCTGTGGAATCTGCAGTGTAGTCTGGAATCACGACCAACCTAAGCATCTCCACCAACAACTTTATTCGCAGCGGGACATCTCTCATATTTCTCCGTGTAAAATTGCTAAACTCCGTCCCAATTTTGGTGCCAGGTTGCACCTTCACGACTTTACCATCGTCTGAGAATGACATCGTCGACAACCATCTGACCTCAACGGACTGCAACTTGCTTCAATGATACTTGCTCGTTCATGAGTTCATGATAGTTTTAGGTAAAACACACCACCAAATAACAGGATTGTCAAATCTTGACACCTTTGCAGGTTCAACATCAAAACGTAGTTTCAGGACCAGATTGGCCCTTGACATGCGGATTGAATTTGACCCCAGAACAACAACAATGGTGGAACATCTGAGGAACAAAATCACTATGTGTCTGGTTGTCCGTGTCCCAAGGGAGAATCTGAAGACTCAGCTGCCAAGGCACGTTGTCCATAACTACTTCTTTCTGCTCATCTGGCAGCGAATTTTATGAAAGGCTTCCCTTTCAGTGGATGGATTGAAGAATCTGATGGAGTTTAGAGAGAATACTTGGATTCGAAATATGTTGAACAACAGTTTTGAATGGTTTCATTTGTGACTTTGTTCAACATAATAAGAATAATTCGGAAGCACAACCTGGAGAAAGATTACAAGGATAACGAATCACATCAAGTTTCAAGTTCAGTTCAGGGACAGTTTCGTTGATAAATTGTGCAAATCGAATATCAGACTTGATTCTTGGAAGATCCTTTGCCAAAAAAAGTATCTTCTTCGGTGCCACTTGTCTGGGAAACTCCTGTTGCAGCACAGGGTGCCTAGAGCTTTTGGACCACATCCATCTGCTCGTGTCAGAGGATCCTCCTGGGGAAGCCAACAATTGGGGGGTAACCTTTCCGCATCCTCGGGTTTTTGTCGAAGGGCGGCTTGAGACAGCCGTTTCAAACAACTTCAAAGTTGTAAAATGGAAAGAGCCCCATGTAACACACCTCTTCTGAATTCTTCTAAACATCTTTAATCTTTTAAATTTTGGTTTGTGGGTTCACTAAATCTCAAGGCTCTCCGATGGAGATCATCATCCCATTTTTAGGGTGGAAAATGGATATTTCCGAAACCACCAACTCGCTCCTCTCTGACCTTTGCCTCCGGGGGGAAGCCCTTGGTGGACTCCGGCTGATGAGCATAGTAATACGAACTCAGTGCGTGGCAGTGCGCTTGGCAGATTTTGCTATGGCGACGCTAGAAATGGAGAAACCATTCTCAGAATTTATGGGTTCTGAAACAATCCATTTGTTGAAGATGCTGTACAATTCTGAGCCACACCCAATTTTCAAGCAAGGTCAGTGAATCACTCCTCAACTTAAATGTCTATCACACATGCTCCATCTCTTTCCACACAAGTCACACAAGTAATGAAATGTCTGTTGCGCAGATTTCATGATTCGGGCGCCCGGGCAAATCCTTGGCCTTGTCCTGAGCACATATGGCATCCATAAACCCTGCTGACTTGGAGTGTGTCGATGTGCCAACTGACTTCTAACCTTTTACAGTGCCTAATGGATTCTCTCATCTTTTCCTCAATCAAAACCAAATAGTTGCAAGATGGGTATCATTTTTGCGGTGTAAGTCAAATTCCAACATCCACTCACAGATCTTGGTCGCTTTGAATGTAATCCATTCCCTTTTGGGATATCAGTGACCCAAATCTCCAAGTGTTGGGAATTTCATCTTCCAATCGTTCCCTCGGATGCCTTGGAATGATCGAAAGCGGATTTCCCGTTGGGGACCTCCTCGATCAACACCTGAAACCACAAGTGTTACTACTTTGCCTTGAAAATTGAAACCATGGACCGTTTTTGATTTCTGGCCTCGTCGCCAGTGTACTCCTCTTGAGTCATATTTGGCTTGAAATGGCTGCAGGAAAAAAACCGCATATGTCGTCACATTGAGCCACCCTAGTGGTCAAGCAAACCCCCATGCGAACAGAAAGCTTCCAGATCTGGATTGGTATCTTCAACTCCAATGAGAACTGGTAGACTAGGCCAAAAAGTCAGAGCACAATCTGATCCCAAACGTGACCCAAGCCCTTTGTCGCCAACATGCCCCATGTCGAGTGAAACAAACGACGTGGAGCACAAACTATGACCTCAGTACGCACGACACAAGCACCACACAGAGAGTGGATCAGTCTCGCAAGTGTTGTCCAAAAACCCGTTGGAACCAAAATCAACAAATGTATGGGCAAAAAATGTCATCAACCCTCCATAGTTCAAATGAAGGCACTCTCGATCGCATGGTTGAAAGTGAACCCTGGCTGCACCATCTCCAACATATAGAGATGGTTCAAACTTGCAAACTTGGAGTACCGAAAGCACCGATGTTTCACATCAACAGTGACAAACATCTATGGGTTCTTTGGTCTTAACTCTTCTACCCACACTCATCTCTGGGGTCATGCGGATATGGTCCAAAATCGCCCTAACATTGAACCGCCCCGCCCCGTTGCGGGTCCAGCTCTCGCTGTATCGGCGAGGGTCTTGCTAGACAGGAGCTTCTGCACGCAGCAAGGGCAACAGCAGATAAGCTGAGAAGGAAGATCTGCCTCAGTGATTAGATGAATGCCATCGCCCCTGATTTTTTGGGCCAACTTGAAGAGAGATCCAATCCATTCCACTCGGGATTTACGGGGGATAATGTTGGTGATTTTGGAGATGGTTTATTCTTGGGTTCGCCACGTTAGTTGAGACTACGGGGAAGGCCCACGTCTGAAATGTGGAACCCTAGTTTTGGAGCCGCTTTTTGATGCTATCCTAACATGAACAATCATGTTTGGTGAGGTCGAAAGGTCCCGACAAATGGGATGGGCATGAGGAAGAAAGCTTGAGAGTGATCTTTTTGGGATCTGGCAATACCTCAACAACATTTGCTTTCCCACTCCTGCGCCACCCTTTCAAGAATAGATCCATTCACATCATATGACTCATATGACTCACATGGGACATACTTGAAAATGGGTAGCAATCTTCATGGGACAGAACAAGAATACTAACAATAATAATAACAACTAACAATAATAATGAATAATGATAGTAGTTGGCTGTAACTGTTTGTTCCCTAAATTTTCACAGAAACGCATAGATGTCTATGCCATGTCAAGTCGCACATGGGACACCGCTCGTCCCTCAGCGATCTTAAGCAGGTGGAGCACACCGAGCAGTGCCGGCACGGCAAAATGATGACCTCGAGTGGATGCGCCGCAACTCTTTTCTGTCTGCCAGAACTGGTTGGTCGCTTTTATCCCAAAATGTGAAAGTCGTCGGAACATCATCTCTTTGAAAGCAGCAACCAGCTTGTATTATATACATACCCTTTTTTACCGTTGAGTCGCCCGTCACCTCAATCTTGGCCAGACACACTCCTGAACCTTTCGTAGCAGACCATACAATCAGCTTCTCCGGGTTCTTCATCTTCGAAACCATAAACACCGAGGATGCGATGTCCCACGTGATTCCTGACGCTGAGTCGCAGCGGAAGACTGTGGCCCAAAACGCTCTTCTCACACGGAGCTATGATCATATCTATACATATCTATACATATCTATACATATCTATACATATCTATACATATCTGATATTTTTTGACCTCATCTCCTACTTCTGACATATCTAAGCCCTCCATCATCCCAGGGCAAAATACCATTAAAACACCACCATTTACCGCATCCCTGGCCGAGGTTCGTGAAGACCACCTGCTGCAGCACTTCCGCTTTGGCGCGATTTTCGCAGCGCACGAAGGTCACCTCATGGCATCCGGATGACTGTAGGTGACTTGAGGTGAATCATCTGTACTCTTTAAGGAAGCATAGCAATATATAGCAATGGACCAATCTGGAAAACGCACATTTTCAAAAGGAAATTAAAATCATCTACAAACATGGAAATTCTTCATGGCTATCTTTGTTGACTGGAAGGTGCAGTAGGCAATAAAATGGACGGATAAAGCTGGATCTTTCTCCGGGCAAGCTGGTTAGCAGAAAGAGGATGGCAACGCCAAAAAGAGGCAATGAAGACAAACCAGCAGGCGACCCAGATCCTGCAAGTAGTTATCTTTCTGGCACGGACAGTTTCTTGATAGGGATATATTCCAAGGCATTTCTTGCTAAGACAAACATAGAAAACTAGAAAACACTGTAGATCATATCACCAGTCGCTTGTTTCTCAGACAAAGATGGCGAAATCACAATGGCCAAATCCACTCGTGGCGTTTCGGAACTGGAACTGCCCCCTGTGGCATCGCCAGATTCAGCCGCCGGAGCAGTTGAGGTAGCTTTCAGCGACACCTTGTCGTGCAAATTGATGCTGAAGGTTTGCCTCAACCCAGCTGGCATGCAATAGATCTGGGATCGTTGCAGAAAGTCGTTCTCGGGAAACAAAGGCCGCGAACTGCCGTTGCCCTCCAACGAAGGGGGCTGGTAACCCATTTCGAGGGATCCTGCGAAGTGCTAGGGCTAGGGATTAGCAGAAACAACACGGGGCTCTCAATGAGCTGTGCCATACTGGTTTCATCAGATCAAATTCTCCAGGTACCAGATCGAGATTGGGTCACCACCGGAGGAGCCGATTCGAGTTCACGATGAATTAGGGCACCACCTACACAGTTGCAACATGACATTTTCCATTGTAACACTCCAAGTCCTCCATGAGATTCCCGCGGACTTCGGTTGCCACAAGGCGCCGAGTCCTGACGTTGGAACAAAGTGGGAAATGGTGATTTTATACCAAGGCCCGTTTCACCATGAAACTTGTCAGGAATCATTATTCTTTATCTATTTTGGGATCCTCCAATGTCATAATTGTATGATGAAAAATAAGATTCACGCCTGCAGATCCATGAGATTTGGGTACAATGTTCCCTTCCAGACATGGCATCAACCGATTGGAATTCTCCCTTTCCACGCAAGCCTCTCTATGCATCACCATTGTGCATCACCAGTAGTGCTTTGACAGACCCAGATCTTGCTCCAACAGTTCCAGTCTGAACAATCCTCTAAACAATGCCAATCTGCGCAATCGTTTTGCTGTTGGAACACATGTCAATTTCTATAGGACAGAACTGCTGGTTGCTGTGGTATGGCATATGCAGCAAAACCCCAGAGCAGGTGTATATCCATGGTATCTCAGCTTTTGCACCCTTCCTTTGTGCCGGCATAGCATTTCCGGCCTTGACCAATTTGTTACAGGCTTCCACGGTCGGACCCCAGTAGAAGCTGATGTTGCATTCCACCGAAGCATCGAAGACGAACCGCAAAGACACCTGGAACACAGCAGGCTGTGAGAGCCAAAGGTTTTGCCGATGATTCAGCCTGTGACGAACCCAATAATCAACCTCAAATCTGAGATGGTTTGCAGTGTGAGCGATTTATTGCGGGCTTTTACTATGTTACCGTTCAGGAAGCAATCATAGAAATGACAATTAAAAATTTCGATTTCAGCTGGTAAATTTCTTCACTTCCTTTCTTGCTTCAGGTAAGGTAAACGATGTGCATGGGAGAATTTGCAGGACACAACTAAGCTGAAAGATGGGTTGAATCTGAAGCGAGGCGACTCTTCGAAACCTGCAAATTGGAAAAGTTGCATTCAAAAACTTTCAGGTGACTTCCCTTAGTAGCCATCATTTCTGCTGTGATCATTGCCCCAACAACATGGTGGCCGAAGGGCCGCAGGGCCTTGTCCTTTGAAGTCGTCACCTCGAGAGATTCCTTGGAGAATCAGCTTCGGCAGCAATGCACCCACAGATTTGGCCTTTTAAAGTATGTGAACCAGTTCTGTTCACCCTGTCATTTGGTGTGGAACATCAATCAGTTGGTCCCTCGGCTGAACATCTTTAAAACCCTTGGTTCAAGAACATTGACCAGGAATGTCATCTGCATCCCATGCAGCTTGATGTCTATAAACTGACTGCTAGCTTGGCACCATAGAGTTTTGATTTTAGGTCTTGGGACATCAAACAGCTTCAAGATCTCCGCTTGTTGCGTCTACAGGGCTGTTGAACGGTTGGGGGGGACCATCTCCACGACATTCCCAGCCCACCTCCCTGGTTCGACAAGAAGCGGGATGCAAATGTACTCGCAGTTGGTGTTGTGGCACCTGCAAGGACATCGACATTGCGTGGAAGGTAAAACATTGCGTGTTGTGACATGTCCCCAAAAACAATAACTATTTAACTAAAATGAACATCCATTTTCTCCCTGTTTCATGATTGAACCCTGCAAGTTTGAAGCTAAAGCCTTGTTTTCACCCATGAATATTTGAAAAGGCCTAAACCTACAAGCACGGGAGAAGACTATCTTCGGTGGGTTTTCGACCATCAAACCTGGGTATATCAGCAGCACTAGTGAGCTCTCTCTACACGATTGAAGTTTTGATATGCAGCCTGAACAAGGCAATTTGTCGTGAACAAGTTCCCAGTCATAAGTCAGGGGTTGGTAACTGTCCCATTTTGGATATATTGGACATCACCTTACAGTAGCCATTATAGACCATATACCTAATGGTTGGGTGATGTTCAATGGGGACATTTAATGACCCAGTCATAAGCCCAAACCGATCGAGCCATTAAAAAATTGAGGGGTTCCCTTCCCCCCAGAGGCTCGCCTCCTTCGGTGGCACCGTGCGGCGCATGCGAAGGATCCTCAGCGCTGGGGGTTTCCATAAATGGGGGATCCCAATAGCTGGTTGGTTTACAATGGAAAAGTACATTAAAATCATTTCAAATAGATGATTTGGGGGGTACCTGCTAAGGAAACCTCCACATAGCTATTATCCCACCCACAACATCAATCATACATCTAAGCAACTGTGAATTTATAAGTAACAACCATAGGAAATATGACCAACGGCTGAGGGAGTTCACCAAAACCGAGCAAATGCACTTTCAAACCTTAAATCCTGGAGCCTTAAGAATTCAGGGCTGGTTCCCCATCCAACCCTTGGCTGATGACGACCCGGGGTGCCCCGTATGTCGAGTCTCTGATTAAAATGCTGTCGTATGAGTTGTTGAAAATCCTGCGCCTGAGATCGTTGCCAGGCCACGACGGGAATTCAGGGCCAGTTTTACAGGATGATAAGCCATGATAAGCCATGATAAGCCATGGCATTCTGGGGTTCCCTTGAGAGAACCATGGATGATCATGGATGCACATCGTCAACTTCACCATGCCATTTGCAGCTGCAACACCTCCCCCAAATGGGGTTGAACTGGCCATGGCTGCCACAAATTTTCTGGGTCGATTGCTACCAAGACTTGCCACCCCAATTGGAGATTTTTCCAGTTGCCATGTGAGAAGAGTGCAGTCAAGGAACATAGACACTCATGCGATCCAGAAAGACCGTTCTGGTCAGGAAGAGCTGTCGATATACCACCATGATCATCAGTATTTGATATGCAACTTTGGCAATCCAAAGAAGAATCGGGACCACAATCAGCAAGACCTCAGTGGCTTCGGTCTTCCTTGCAGCTGATAGTTGTCTTCCTTGATTGGTACCATCTTGCTGCAGTTCAGCCCCAAATAGAAGACCCAGCGGGACAGAATCAAGGCCCAGGATATTGTGAAAAGAAGATCAACAAGAGAATCCATCTTTGATGAAGTTCGGAAGATGCCACAAATTAGAACCTTACAACGTTTGCAAAATTGTCGAAAAGCAGCATAGGAAGCAACCCCAAGAGTGATTGACGTTGAGCATTTTCTACCAGGTGTTCATGGCCTAACTGGATTTCCTCTGCAACTCCACCACTATCTACCAGTGCCGCCCTTAGCAAGTGATGAACCGCCCCTTGATTGTTTCTAGACTCTCAGTACTTCTCAGGTGGGCAAGGCTACCCAGGTTATCCCCAAATCCACCGCGCCATGTGGCCATGAAGTTATGGAAGCTCAAGGGCACCGCGAAGATGGGATCCACCATCGAGCTCCCCATGGCGCTTTTTTGCTCTGGGGTTAGATCAAGATGTCTCTGTTGGCTGGGGAATGACCCAAGGTATTTATCAAAGATATCTAGTCACCACAAGGATCAGACGATCATCAATTTTGTTGTTGGGGTATGGGCCTCTGATGGATTTTGACTATCCACTGTTTGTGGCTGGGGGGACCACTTTGAACAGCCTTGCCAAAGCGGTGGATATGCTGTCAGAGTAAATGCTAACCAGTAGATTCATGATGAAACTATTGACTCTGGTAGAAGATCAACAATGTTGGTACAAAGAGGACTACCTTGATTGACAAAGTGGTACCCGAAACCGTGTTGCTTCCTCTCCTTGTCCATAACTTCAGCACGCTTCTGACAGCAGCAGATTCAGAATCAGTGTGAGAGTCCCTCTGGACACATGGACCTAAATGCCTTCCACAACCAAAACGTTTAAGACACTGATGGTGCATACTGATGATAACCCATGACATAGCTGAGGTGGTAAAAAAGTTTCTCAACCGGCAATTCCGAAACTCCTGGACCCATCCGGTGAGGTCAAGAAATTGTTGGAGTATCACTGAGTATCCCTTGAACCTTAACAACAGCTTGAGAGTGATCCTTGCAAATGCAACCTCAACTTGTCACACGCCCTGGTGCTAATCTCCTTTTGCCATCACAACTTCTATCTCAAGAGCCCTACCTTCCAACATGTTACCATCGGAGTCTCCTTGGAACATGGTTAATGTTTGACACGATCTGAAAAAGTTGGTCCTTAGTTGTGCCTTTTATTTCCCGGAGTCTTCAAACCAGCGTTCATCTGCTCTGAAACTATCCAGAATATCCAACCACGACACTTAACCAGTGGCGTCCCACAAGTTCGGTGAAAAGTCTGATTTTAAAATCAACCATTGAGGAAATTATCTCTGCCATTCCGGGGTGAAGTTCGAAATCCTGTAACCATGACATTAACCCCTGGTCCCAAGTCCCTCTGACAGATATATCCTTTTTGTGTTGCAAATCGCCGTGGGCTCTTGCACGACACGCAGAGCTCCATTGTTTGGTGCTCAATAAATCAAATTCTCATGGGAGCATTGGTCCGCACAGCTGGCCGTTTCAATAAAAAACATCATTCCTAAAATCAAAATCTACATTCGCAGAATCTGATGTTTGGGCAAAAAAGCTTTGCCAATTGGGATTATCGGATAATCCTCCCTTTTCTAGGGATCAAAAGAACACGTATTTAACACCACCAAGGAGGGATTTGATATTCACTGCAGGCTTTTTCCAACATCTCACAGGAGTCAACAAATGCAGGGGTTGATTCCCCGAAGATTTCCAACTGTGCCCAGCTAGTGTTGGCTTCAAATGGAGGCCCAATTTCCATGGCTGTCCAAGACCAACTTGCGACCTTGTAGGAGAGACTGGAACTGGGTGGTTGAGCTGTGGAGCTATCTGGGCCACGAATATGGTTGATGTTTTGGAGAATTGGGATACCCTCCCAAACAAGGAAACCATCTCTGAAATCACGAGCCAGCAAAGAAATGTCCTGATTGGTGTGTGCATTAGATGAACATGTGGGCGGTCGCACTGACTCACAAGCTTCAGATGGAGAATGGTGAGGACATAACCAAACAACACTTTGGAATACATCGGCAAAATCATGGGGGAATAACCCATCATTCTTCATGTCCGGGGTTACGCATGGGTTATATACATATATATCCATATACATAATCATATCGGTACAAAAAACATTGTATACTGTTATAACTTCTAACCACCCGGCAAATAGACTCTCTCTCTCTCTCTCTTGATGTGGTTTTGAATGGGTTGGATGCATCATCCGCGATATCCCAGAAAACAACGTATCTATCTGCCTGTGGCTTGAAACCTACCCTTTGGTCATGAATGTTTGGCAAAGGTTGGTAGGATGTCTCAGACTTGATTCATCTTGGTTCTAGTGGTCTCAAAAGAAGGCAAATCTTCCATGCCCCATCATAAAAAGTTAAAATCTTCGATGGGAATTGTCTTTCCCCATCTATGGACACCCTAAAATCTTTTAAAATCAATCTATTAGCCTACCCAACCAAGGTTTACTCAGCACCCAAATCAGTTTGAGGATCCCAAGGCGGAGCCAATAGAGTTGCTGCTCAGCGACGTATTGTTCGAGCGAAGGTACCTGGTGGGTTTATTTCAAATCTGTCAGGTTTGGGGCCTCACAAGGGTGGGAACTCATTCCATGTGGAATCCATTCAAAATCAGTGTTTGGATTTTATGAGAAACTTTTGGGAATGGGGTCGTGTTGTTTGGTCGATGATACAAGGTTTCAACGGGATGGCCAAGTGGTTCTCTCATTTGAAACATGCAGGTGTTTATGGTATATCAATCTGTATAGTATTTGTCTATGTGGATCAAGAACCGCGGTAGTTTCATGAGGGAATTACTCCTCCAAAATAGTGATCATCTGCCGTGTAAAAGCTATCCCACAATGACACAGCGGAGAGAGGTTTATATAAATGCAGGCTTGACATGACATGTATATCAATATATCATACTACGTCCTAATGTATATTGATATATCAACATATATCATAATATATCATCCTAGGGTTATACCATTCATCACCACGGGCCTTGTCCATGGCCGAAGGAATAGCACCTGGGGCGCGGATAGAGTTTTCAACGGTGGAATCATAAAACCTGATGATTCTCGGGAGTTCAATAGCACCACCCAAGTGATGATATGTGGTGATATGATGCCAAACATATCGACCACCAAGTAATACTGCTGTGTAAAAAATACATCGAAGAACAAAGAAGCTGCAAATTCGCCGGACAGGCATTTACATGCATTTACTATCATTTACTTTTGCTGTATGTTGGAGGTTGACATTGGCTGTTCAATTCCTTGCTCAACATGGATTTGATCCCAAAAGTTGGTCGAAGAAGGGCTCAGTCGAAGGGCTTCAGTGACAGGAGGCGATTTGCAGTTATTTTTTGGTGCTGATTGGTTAGGAAAACCATGGCCATAGACAATGCCAAGACAACCAATGCCAACCTTCAAGGTTCTGCTCAGCAACCAGCTGCCCCAGATCACCCGACCGTGGCAACATCAACTGCAGCTTGGGTCAAAATGGGTGCTGCTTTTGACTCGAAATCACCTCTTTGGGTCCGGTGCTGCTTTGGGTTGCCATATCTATATCGACTAATGCTGAATCGATTGGGGGCTCCCAAAATCTGAGATGGTTCATACTAAAAATGCATCAGAAACATATTGCGGGTCCCAACAATTCCAAAATATTCCACAGTAGGGAGAGTTTCCGAACCATCTGAATGACCTGACATCCCACTCCACCCAGCCAGGGTTTTCTGACCAGCGATGTTCAGGAACTTCATTGGCGGCAATGCGTTGACCCTGGGCATCGGTATCGATTGCTGGGTCAAGGCTATTCCAAATGAGATGATCCATTCATGTCATCAGGACGACATCAAACTACAAGTTCAAACTTCATGAAAACCTACTATCTTCGCACAAGTATGCAGCTTGGTTCTTGATTGTTGTACAGGACACCCCCCCTACCCTGCCCATTTTTCGCCCCGTTGGAAAATCCCGAGGTCACAGCAGGGTGAGGCATCAGCATCCATTCCAATAGATCCTGGCGTCGCTCGTGACATCGCTATTTCTTCAAGAAACTCACTGTGATACAAACAACATGGAATACCCTAATGGAATACCCTATACATGAGAACCACTGACATCCTGTGCACCTATATGACTGGATACCTATATTATATATGTTATGATCTATGTTTATCTAGGTCCGTGGAGCTGTTGGAGATTTGTTCTCGATAAATGGCAATCTTAATGGGTAAAACAATTAATTTTCCAATCCATTGGAAGTTAGCCCATTCTCAGAGAGATCCCAAAATCCGATCATCAATTTCTAAGCCTTTCTGCTCAAAACTCACTGGCTTGGTGGGAGAAATCTCTCCAGATCTGCCTTTGCACCCCAGCTGGTGAACCAACCAGCCTGAAGCCGCACCCGATATCTGGCAGACTTTTGAGGCCGCATATGTTTTTGTATGTGAATAACATCTTGTGTCTTCTTGTGTACATAGATAGAATCTGATCATTATCCAATGTGTTGTCAAATCTTTCTGCCATTAAGTTTTCCGATTCGAATGATAATGACCATGATGATTTTCCAGACTCAAAGTCTTTGGGCAACCGGACATCAAAGTTTCCACTCTGAACATCTCGCCGTTCTTGGCAAGCGGAGATGGGGTTTGGTGATCCCTCCGAGTTGGGTCATGACCATGAGACATTCAACCTTGATCCAGGTGGTTTCAACCCGAATCTGAGTTTCATGGAACCCAAAAAGGATGGAAAAGATCTGAAACAGCCAGGGACACATCAGCCATGGATGCCCGTTTTTCCAACACATCGATCGGTCTGTGCTGAGAGTTCCACTTAGAGTCTCTTTCTCCAGAAATGGATGGGTACCTGAACGTTGATCATTTCACAGGCGACATGTGGTATGCATCCCAGGAAGTGGTTGATAAGCATATGCACCTCATATAATAAGGGTTTATCATGATCTATACCATTTGTAATTCCCTTAGCAACTATGCTCTTGGAGGTACCATCAAAGACTTGGGATTTTGAGTAGGACAAACAAGGATGTAGTGGGATTTTCCGCGGCTGGCACCTTGATACAGCATGAAGTAGAAGCAAATGCCCAGGGCCCAAATGTCCACGGGGAAGGAATAGCCCTTTCCTGGCGGCAGAATCCATGCAATTCTTTCGGGGGATCAAAAATCTAGTATCGTTATTTGCCATTGAAAATGGACAGTCGAATAGTAAATAACTTTGTTGGTTCATGGCGCTACCTCTTTGAGATATAGCCTTTGGAAAGCATGATCCAATGGGTGTCCAGGACTGATTGCGAATCTAAAACAGCAAGGTCATGCTCTAATATGCATCCCAGTAATGTAGTCAGTTCCTCGCAAGCACATCTCAATGTCCATCCGAATCATTTTTTCAGATCCTTTCATTAACCTCATATTAATTTCATAAAGTAGGGGGACTATCATTCCAATATCCAACATTCATTTAACAATATCCATCCCAATAGAATGATTCTATCTGGTAGATGTCATATTCCAAATGATGTCCATCCTTTCCAACCTCGAGGCAATTGATGGACTTCAGGTGCCCAGTAGCCAGGAGTTCCCATGGCCTCCTGCGGTTCCCATTAGCACTATTGATTTGTGCATCTGCCATCTTTATTGGAGAGCTCAAAATGCAACCAACAAACTATACACCATGACTTTTTTGGCTACGCCATTGCTAGTTCGCCTTGACATTTTGGTAGGTCAGATTTTCAATTACCAACCCATCTGCGCTTCGAGCTTGTTAGTCCAAAACCTCCATCAAATTTCGCCGTTGTCGGCAGTCAAACCTTCGATTTGTCATGGACAGAGATTACACATGTTTGTCATGATCGTCAGCAAGAAGTTGGGGTGAAATCCCAATGAAACCACTGGCAATAATTGCACAAGAACACTTCTCGGTTAAATCGACATATGAAACTCTCATTAAATCGCACCTTTCCAAAATCACACCAAACTTGAGCAGAACATCACATTTTTTTTCTAGTTACATCAAAGTTGTTCAATGTTTTTCATCATAAAAATCACCATTTTCATCATCAAAACCCAATTGAGCAGTGTTCAAAATCCCTCTGTCATTCCATTTCACTGGTTAAGAATGGTATTTCCAAATTGGATTCTAATTCTCAAGATGTAAGGGTAGTATCCCCGAACGAATCCTCAGGGGTTTAGCAGCCACATCTCCTCCAACATCACGCCTTCCGGCGCCATGGTGGCGCAACCGAAGTCCGCCAGTTTTACCTTGGAGCGATTGGTTCATAAATGGTGGATTAATTGTGGATTTATAGTTTCATAATGCCAAAAGATGCTTGACTAATGAACATTATGACATTATTATCGGAATCTCATAGAGTTTTACTGGGATTTTAGCCAACCAAAATGGCGATATCATCAAAACAATGCATTTATGAGAAGCATCAAGAATACAATACAAAAAATTGGATTGAATGAGGGTATACTAGGGCTTTAATGGAATCATGAATATTTGTTGTGGTTGGGGCTGTGTCTATGAATGAAAACAATGAGGAATGAAGTTCATAAATTGCGACCTTATTTAGTGGAAGCAAACCACGCCCAAAGGATTTTTGGTCAAAATTGGGGGTTCCTCCAATTCCGATGAACGCATCAAATGTCACTTTGGGGCATTCGTGCTTGGGCAAACACAAATATTGAATGAAGAACTAAAGGGGGGTTCATCAAAATGATATGGTTGATCTTATTCGGTTTACGGATTTGCCCCCAAAAGTCGGGTGTATCGCTGGTGTACTGGAAAGTGTTACAAAACATGATAGCCCATGGTTCAAGTGGGTATAGTTATTTAATTAACTGTTAGGGAAGGGACTGCTTCAATCCTGGATGGTGCCAGCCACCTGTTATTCACAACAAAAACTGATTAGTGGCTGCACTGGTTGCTATGGTTGGCGCGCGGCAGTCGCAAGCATTTTCAGCACTTGCTTTTGCTGCCACCAAATGCTCTGTCGATTTGTATTGACCAAGTGCCTGATGTTTGCGCAAAAGGTCTGCTCAAACTCAAAGGGGCAAGGCGGTGTTAACATGATTGCTTTGCCTGAGCATTTTGCATGGCAGCCACAGGCTCAGCAGGCCTTGGTTAATGGTATTGCTCGCTGTTTGCCAACAGGCCCCAACTCGCGACGCGTCAAACTCTTCAAGTACCCGAGCGTCTGCGGTCAAGGTGTAAAGCCGAAAAGGGTAGCCGTTGCATTTCTCAAAGCGATCACGGCCCGGGTCATGCGTGGTGTGGCATGGCCATTTATGGCCAATGTAGCCATCTCAACGGCCAGGTTCACTTAAATTTGCAGAGGTGAATCCGATCTCTATTGGACCTATTGGAACTCATCTTGTCATCCGATCTGATCGGTTTCTATCAAAGCCATGCCTATCACATCCTATCACACTATCAAGACAATTTCTCCCAGCTTCCATTGGGAAACATCAACTCAAGGGAGGCACCACTTCTTGCTCTGAGAAGAGAAGATTTCCAGGCCTCAGCTTGAGCTCAGCTGGAGGTGCCCAGGGGAACAAGAATGGATTTGTCTGAGAATTTTTGGCACCCCCAAATGTGAAGGGTTCTTATCACATTTTCAAGTGAAACAAGCATTTTGGAGTATACCCTGTTTAGGATAAGTCCATATCTGGTGCTGTATCGAGATATCTGATTGGCGCCACTCAACACCACATCTTGGTGGTTGGCATCAATCAACTATAATTGTCTCTTCGTCCCTATCTGCACCATGAACAGCAATGGGAACTGCCAGCCTTGAGATCCTTGTCATGGTTCGCATAAAAGGTTTCTCCTCCGTTTTGTAGGTTTGGTTCCAAGTCGTGTTGGTTGATAGTCCATGTTTGTTGTCCAATCAGTAGTTTACAATTTCTGTTGAGCCAGCCCCCGGGGAATCAACCATAATAGATCCTCAATTGCCAGCTTTGTTTAGCAAAGAGCAAACTTATGTTCGTCCCAAGCATGGTATCATAAGCTGTGACCTGTACCCTCACCGTTTTTCACGCTGGATATGGATTGGTCCCAAAAATTGGCACGCAGCATCCAGTGGCTTCAGAGATCTTGTCCACTGGTTTCAACCCCCATAAAAGATCTCTGAAGCCACCCACCGCTGCAATCCAATGGCTTAAAAACTTGATTGCCCCCTATCTAAATACCAACTTTCTCCCCATGTCGATGGTAAAATCCCATATCCCATGAAGATCAAATTTAGCCGTTGGGCTTCACGTCGCGATGCACCAGGTCATGTTCCTTCAGGAAGTCCAAGGCCTCGGGTTTCAGATATGGGGGATATCACTGAGAAATATGGGGAAACGATGGGGAAAATATCATTGATCAATGGTAGAAATAAGGAGCTTTAACGGCTTTAATATGCTTTAATGGCGCCAAATATGGATGATTCTGGGTGGGATTGTGTGAGTGATTTTGATGATCGTTATGGTTGATAAATTTTGGCTGATGACATTAAGTCTTGACTCTCACTGAAGGATGGCAGAAATTTCCAGCAAGTATCTGGTATACGTGGAAAACACATCCAAGGTGAGGGCTTAAAATTCAACAACATGAGCAAATCAAATCAAAAACAATGGTGCATAATTCCCACCGATTTCTATACTTTTTTGCGAAGAGACGTTTGGGGTGAGCGAAACCGAATGCCAACCATCGAACTTGCCAGATTGCATCGTGAGCAACTCAGGCCATCAAGCCATGCCGGGAGGGGCAAAAATAAATCCGCCCATATAATTATTAGTTGTACTTTTGTAAAATCAGGGGGGAACTAACTATGCTTATCTACCAAATTTCTATCATGAAGATTGGTTCCATCCTCCAAGCCTGATTGGTTTGCACCCCTGTTTTTGTTGCTTGAAAGGAACTACACTTTTGATGGCAATTATTTCTATGATGCGCAGGTTTCTCGCAGCAAAACTCGAATGAACATGGTGTGGCAGACCCAACAACCCAACGATATTTGTGAGACCAAAATTAAAAATGGTTCACTACTCGGTTTTTCCCACAGCCAGTACTCTGGTGAACACCAACATGGTAGACTGATGTGCATCCATGTACAAAAAAAGGTATCATAGGGTTCTAAACCATCTCCACATTGAAACCACTATCATCATCCTCATCATCCTCATCATCCTCATCATCCTCATCATTCATTACAATGGGTAGAATTAACTCTGAACCAATCATCAACCAGTCATACCTCCAGTCGTTGACACATGTTATCACATGTTGAAACCCTTTAAAAACCAACAAATTTTGATTCTGGAATTTCGCCACACGAAACATGTTGGAACATAATTGTACGATTTTCGCCATGAATATTGATAATCTAATCCCAACATTTCTGAAATATGGCAGTGTGTCAAAACCTTGTACCCCTGGTGAACATCAAAATAGCTGGTAAATGGATGTTCATCCCACTAAAAATGGTATTAATAGGTATTGATCCATACCCAAATCATGGCAAAAAGCCATGAAAATACCAAGCTTCCGACGCTGGCGCCCTGACAGAGCAATTTGGCCACCAGGCGCTCGCCACCTGGTGATGGTGACATTGGATGAATTTCTCACTAGTGTTTTTAATATTAATTAATTGTAATGGTATTTTAATGAACCATGAAATATTATAATTGGATATTAGTGTCCATGAATTTTTTATTATTAATGGTGACATTGGATATTATTCCATTAATTATCCATGAATTTAGTATGGAATATCCATGGAATTTAATATGAAAAAATGGATAATATTCTAATGGAATAATATGGAATATGAATAGCTATAAATGGCACATTGGGTGAATGCCACTTCTTTCCATGGTGGAGAAGATTGTGGCTGTATGTGACTGTAGACGTATTTTCGCTTTCTATGACTGCAATCTTGACAAACTAAATAACCTTTGCTGGGTTTCTATTTTTTTGGAAGGTATGAAATCGTGAGACTGGGAAGGTCTTGTAATATGGGCTTGGGAATGCCATGCCCCTGATCAGGGTGTGAAAATACTACCAGCCAGACCGTGCTGCCAAGCCTCAGCCCGACGAAATCATGGAAAGTAACGTTGCCAAACCAAAAAACAAGCGCAAAACAAATTTGAGTTCATAGTCGGGTTCTTCAAAAAAAGTCTTTTTCCAGAACATGAGATTACCCAAAGAAATCCCAATGAAATCCCAAATATCACCCTGCGCCTGACTGGAACTTGCTGGAATGAACGACCTGGTCCAAACTGCCAAGGGGGCAGAACCTGAGGCGCCAAGATGCGATCTGATCAAAGTTCGCCCAAAGAGTTGATATAAATTTGGGTATATCTGGCATACTTGGGCTCAGCCATCGCCTCATTTCTTGGTCAAATCAAAAATCCCTAAAATGGTTACGTCCCATTCTTGACCAGTTTTGATGGTTCACAGCTTGCAGCACTGGTGGGATTAGATTCAGCACTGTCACTGTAGGATCATTGGGCTCCCCAAACTCGAAGATGAGATGAAGGCAGTCAAATTCCTCTCTACAGCGATGAAACAGTGAATTTACTCAGGGATTCCAAGCCAGACATGATGGGATGTTAATCAACAAGACTGACTGCCGATAGAGCCTAGAACAATGAGCAGCTGCTGCCACTTACCATTTATTTTTGTGTTGCAGCAGGTCTGACCAAAGGAAAGTGGCAAAATCAATGAAACACGAGGATGATACCAAGATTGATCTCAGAGAAATTTGCCGAATTGCCTTTGCTTTTACCATCCAGTTGGCTGTAGATTTTCCTGAAGATGACTCGGAGACAGAAACAGTCACACAAACGAATCATCCCTCCCTCAGAAGCCTTGCAAGCATATGGATGCTAGGGTCCCAGACTCTGTGAAACTGCAACCGAACCCACCAGTCTTAGCTGGCAGCGCACCCATCTGAATTTTCCCCATAGACTGAACCAATGGTAGGGACCTTGGGTGTTTCATGTCGGAGTCCTCGTAAAATTCGAAGAACTGCACGATGTTCGAATGCTTCCCAGAGACCATCTGCCCAATGGAGCAGGTGCAGGTTGAGTGAAGTGGATATTTTTCACCATGGGGCATAGGAGCTACATCCCAACCTATAAAGGTAGTGACCATTTCTCACTACAACTGCAACATCAATTATGAGCCCAAAACTGGGACAATACCGTGATTTATGGATTAGTTCTGGTCTACCCCAAGTCCCCTAGGCCGGTGGATTTCGCCTCCAAAAGCTCGATCTCTTCAAGGACCTCGATGATGGTGGTGGACCATGAAAAATCGGGGGTTTCGCCATGGTAAAAGCATGAAAAACACTGGTTTACCCAAGAAAAAAAGATAGGTAAATCAAAAATGTTTGAAACAAAGAACTGTAAGAAAACCACGAAAACCACGAACACATCTCCACAATTCTGAAACTCATCCCCCTACTCTTCAAGATCACCTGTAAATGGCCGATGGGGTGTAGCCTCTGGCAATCTCATTTTTCCATGAAAAACTGGAGTCTTTGTCCTCAAAAAGCTGGGCTTCCACGCATAGCCTCTGGTGAACCAGTCTTTCTTTGGAATGGTTTTCACCTGGCCATGGGTCATCCAGAGATTTTTGTCATCAATGACTTCATGGAAAACTGACCACCATTCTATTCACCTCAAAAGTGATGAGTGTAGATCAGTCCCATAAAAAAATGAACAAACTCATGAATACGTGGAAAACACAGAAAACCACTGAATAAACATACGAATCAGTCATGAATAATCACATGAATGAATCAATGAATAACTTCTTAATGAAATTGAACACACACATGTATACATATATGAATGTACATGTATACATATATATACATATATATATATATATGTTACATATATATATATATGAATGTATGTATGTGCCGATTCTTGGTGCATCTATCCCATTGCAAGTGTGTGTGTTGGCAATGCCACTATAAACATAGTTCGGATGCAACAATTCATATTGATTTTCACTGCTTGGGTTCTGCACCGCAAGTCGGTTGCTCCCTAGAAGCGAAGCCCCTGCAACCTGCACCAACAAATTTCTGCTCGAATTTCTGCCCTGTAGAATTTTCGAATCCCGCCAGCTGTATCTTGGAGGTTGCATCACAGGAATCGTAAGTGGGTAGCAAACCCCATTATACCTCCAGCTATTTGTGAAATATCCCACTTCCATATGGGGTTAAAATCAATTACTAATTGGGATGCACATCGAAGTAATTAGCTATGTCTACTAGTGTTTTGGTCACTACAATCCACATACCACAGGATTGCCAATTCCATCCTGTCGGCGCGCACGCATCGACTTTGGTGCGATCGGCGGTTGGTACACCTTGCCGGAACAGCAGCTTCAACTTCGAACTACAGCAAGTCCTACAGAGAGTTAAAAACAGATACTCTCCCTGTGTTTTTTCCCCCTAAAAAGCATGTCCTCCCAAATAGCCAATGCGTTTTAGTTTTTTTTTCTTTGTGATTAGAGGTTGACACCATGGCTATGTCGGTATAAACATGGCAGTTCTGCTCATCAATATCGTCTTGCAGCTCAGACAACTACCAAAACTTTGCCTGGGGCCCTCATCATTTTCGAACCTGCACATATCTCAAACCAAAATTGGTTTCATGGCTGTTATTGCTGGTGGTATCATCCTTTTTGCGAATATCTTGGAAACCATCATTTATATCCCCAGTAATTGTAGGTTCAAAAAAACAACAGTGACCATCAAGTAGTAACAATAATGAAACAGATGTATCATAACATGTAGTTATGAAAAGTATACCTGTTTGGAGGTTTCCTAAAATGGAAGTACCTCCAAATCATCCATTTCAATAGGATTTTCCATTATAAACCATCCATATTTGGGGTACCATCATTTTAGGAAAACCCTATTGATATATAGATAAACATATTATATACACACATATTTGTATACTTCCATATACCATCTGGTTATTTAACATAGCCATGGAAAATCACCATGCTATTAATAGGTAAAGCATCTATTTCTATGGGCAATTTTCCATGGCTATGTTAAATAACCAGAGGTAATTTCCCTGAGATGAAACAAATGTCATCGCCTTCGTACTTCACCAAAAGCGCCGGCTGCAACGTGGTCCTCCGCCTGGGGAAACTCATGGGAAAATCACCGCTGGATTTCCCAACAAAACATGGAAAGTCTCAAGTCGGCTTGCCGAGAGGAGTTTCAAATTTGTCATTCCATTCAAGTCAAAACAAAAACAGATCTGAAATTCTTACCAAATCATGCAGGCACATCCCAACCAAAATGACCAAAATGGCTCATCCCGCGACGAATTCTGCAGAGCTGCGTGCGCACGGATCAAGTAGTTCACATCATATTCGGACCTGATCCCAGCTGGAACTGGTAAATGGAGGTCATCCATAAAAACATGATTATTTACAGGTATTGATCCATAGCCATGTCTTCAAATGAGGTGAATGTGATGACAAGTGTCATATGACCAAATGCTTCATATCTTTAGAACTTTCTATCTTCTTTGAGGTTCACTCGGAAGTTTAGTCAAACCTACACCTTATCAGAATCAATTAAACCCACAAAAAGAGCCTGGGAGTTTGTTAATCCACAACTTGAAAAAATCAGCTTCAAAAAGTCACAGTGGATAAAATTGGAAACACAGAAACTTAACCCATTCCAGCCTTTTCTGGTACGCATTAGTCTCCACGGTAAAATGAGGAGATACCACATGATGACTGCTTAGCTCAACTGGCCAAATGCTGGCACACCCACTGGCCAAATGCTAGTCATGCAGTGTGATTTGAGATGGTACCGGAATGGTGGCAAGAGTAGTATCTATTTCTGCTTCACGGAGTTGTTTGATTCGAGTGGGCCTATTGCGATTTCCAGAGTGATGGCGACAAAAGAAACTACCAGTTTTAACCGCATGTAAACAGTTAAGTATGAAAATATGGTCGACTATCTTGGATGTTGTCTGGACACACAAAATGAAAGCGACAAGAGGGGCTACTGGAACTGCCAGAGAGATAAGTTTGATAGAGATAGGTTACGAGAGAGACAAGTTTGATTGAGGCATGTTTGACAGAGATAAGTTTTGATAGAGAAAATAAGGCAAATATTCGTTTTGATACAAACAAATTTGATCAAAACAAGTAATGATAGAGACGCGTTGGACAAAGATGCGGCGAGAGGCTGGAGAACGATATCCTTAAGCTGGGTTTAGTCACCAGAGAGCAGAACTCTAGTATATAAAAAACAAAACATGTATCAGTAGGTGAACTCACCCTTTTTGATAGCAAGATCCTTTTATTTGTCACACATCGCATCTTTAGCAGCAAGTTGCTTTCGATCTTAGCACTCAAAGCCCACCCAACTTCTCTGAGATTCCCCTGCTCAAGGAGACTGTAACCACCCACTGGGATGATGTGGCATTGACCCATCCCTCCTGGACAGACTCCCATGGTTCATCATCAGCCGTTCGGGAGATCGGTCCCATTGTGGAAACCACTTTACACCATTCACTGGTAGTTAGATACCATTTTTTTGGGGGTATATGTCATATATATGTCATATATGTCTCATTTTCAGATATCTCAATTGGGAACATCGTCATTGTCTCAGAGATGCGAACCAAAGAAGTCTCTGAAACCACAACTCGTGGCGGGATGGGAGGTCAGATCTGATCCCATCCCCGAAACTGACCCCATCCGTCCTGAGCGCTACGGCCACCGCGTCGGAGCAAAAAGTGGAGACTTTAGAAACACTCATAGTAACTTTGGGATGGAAAAAAATGTCAGGTTACCATTTCCAGAAATGGAACATGTCAGAAAGATCACAAGAATCCATGAACATCATGAACTACTTGTTTCATGTTGGAACCAGGACATGTTCACTTTCCAGTCTCGTTGCATTGAGTTTTTCCACGTCGCTTGAGCTCCAGGACTTACAAGCTGGGCCGGTGGATTCAGGGACATGGGCCACAATTCGAACTACAGATGTTTGGCAGTGTATATCCAGACAAATCGATATCTACATATCTATATCTGGATCAAAATCGTTGTATTTAATATCATGTAATCACATTTACACCTCTTTATATGTGTGTAATTGTGTATATAAAAGGAGAGACATACCGTATATACTCATCCAATGAGCTGTATCCTTGGTTCTCCGGAGAACTCCCTGCAGAGGGGTAGGGAATGGGATCACTTAGCAGCCAAGTTCACCAATAACACCACGATCTACCATCCAACTTGGATTTACCATCCAACTTGTTGATTTTTTGGGGAAGAATGCTGACCCATCCCCATATTTGGTGTGAGCTGATGCGGTTGGTGGCTTGTCATAGAGGAGGGTCCTGGTAAAAAGGAGCTTAGTATGGAACCCAAGAAGGCAATGTCACAATGAAGGGAATATCCACCGTTTCAGTGTAGGGAAATCTGTTTACCAACCATTGGGTGGTAACTTACCAACATATGACTTTACCAGGCATCGATACTTGTAATTCCGCATACATGGCCCTACGATCTTGATCAACTTCCAGATATCGGCTAAAACATGTTGGTAAACAAACAAATCGAATACGTATGAAGAAGCCATCATAATTGGATGGACGAGGTTTAACCACAAGCTGTGGCATGCAAGGTCAACTTCAGAGCTCACTCTCCAACAGGATGAGAGGACCCACTTTTTTTGGCGTGCCGGATGGCGATGTCTAACAACGCAGAACTGGGCTAAAGGACAATTTACAGGAGTCCTCCGAATTTTTATACTGAAAGCCATGCTCAATAGTCGTTCAACCCTCCTTAAAACATTTTAGTCAGTTGTGATCATCACCCCAAAAAGCGGGAAGGTCATTTGAAACAACCAGCCAGCATGGTCTCCTGTAAATTCTCATTTCAACCAACCTAGTGAGAACAGGAACCCTTGAGACACGGTCGTCAGTCAGTGGGAAGTTGCACTTGTGAATGGAAGTTGGAACTTGGACAACGACCTATTCACAACTTCGTGGGTATTTTTGAACATGGGGAATACCCGTCAAAAGAGCTTTTCAAAAGGGAACATGATGATAACATGCAAATTTTGTGTGTACCCTATATTTTCAGACAAACTTGCATCATAATGCATTTATAAGCCGACTATTCAATAAATCATGGTGTCATCCCCATTAAGTTGGTGTGCCTCGGACAAATCCATATGGCGACAATGCTGAGATGGGACCCAATGGATGTTCCATATGTCATGAACGACCATTTTAGTACTGAAAGCCATGGTGACTTGGGGAACCCCCATTTTAAGCAGTTGGACACCCAACCCCCGTTCAGGAACAACACCCGACCGGCGGTCATCGTCCCAAGGGTTCAATCTAACAATCTGCAGTCCTCTATCCTGGTGCGCTGACGAGTGGATGTGGACCATAGGCCCATAACACACATCTATTAGCCTGGTTTAACATTTTACATCTATTCGTTTTGGGGTGTTCTTTCGATGTATAAACACATGGCCTCGGAGATGGCATTGAATCATTGAATCAAGGGCTATGCCAAAGGTCATTGATGCATATGTGCAACCAATTGAATCAACAAAGGCTATGAAAAATATCAAAATCCTGAACATTGCAAAAAAATCTTTGTAAAATCCCAATCCACCCTTGTTGCTGAACAAATCCCCAATGCATCGCAAGAAAAGTCCCATCGTCAGGTCACCAACTCACCGAAGCAGCTACACCAGGGATCTGCTGGGCATCGAACACTTTGGTCCGCTGGTGCTGAGGCGGTGTAGAGGTCTCGTGGATCAATCATATCACCGGGCAATTCTTGTACTTCACAAATGGAGAAATGGGTTTCTCTAAAAATAGGGTATCCCTAAATCCATTAATCATCATTTTCCATTAAAACGGCGTTTTTTTTGGGTATATCTCATTTTAAGACACATCCAAATAAACACTCTTCGAGATACTCCACCTTTACCAAGCATCATTTGTGGTGACCTCGTTGTGGTCCAAATGTGTTGTCCTGGGAATGAAGCATCCCTCGGCGGTAGTGTGTAACATCAAGGCAATCGTTAGCCTCCTGCACAATACTAAACAGCCGGCGCTAGCCATGGCAAAGGCTCGCTGGACCATGTGCTGTTGATCTTTTCCTGGAAAACTTGAAGCTGGCTTGGCATAGCCGCAGCCCCAATCAGAGATATATGGATGTACAGGTATCCCAAAAATCTGTGACCACATTGATATCAATGGGATCAAAGTGGTGATGGTATGATTTAAGAACTCCCTGCACGTGGATCCAACCCCAAAGAATGGGGAAAC